GCCAGCACGCTGAGCCCGAACAACATGGCGGTGATGCAGATCAGCAGCTCCAGAACCAGGAAGATCACCAGCGTCCCCAGAATGCCGTCGATTAGAAGCTGGGGGCAGAGCGGAGAGGTCAGAGGTCAGGGGGCGGGGCCCGGAGCCGAGCCACGCCCCCTTTTACCCAGAATGCAACGGTCTGACATCAGCGAGATGCTGGAGTCAGAAGGAGCCGTTAGCATAAACAGAAACAGAGCAGTTTGCCTTAGAAACTGGCTAAAATGTGAATAAATAAAAGGTAAAAGGACCATGTGTAATTGTGGAGTTGTTTGTTTAAAACTAAAAACGTTCCATTCACTTATCCTGTATTTGCTAAAAAAAGGGGAAAAAAGAGCAATAGCTAAGTTGCCAAAATTGTTGACAAATTAAATAATTTTTGGGGATTTGTCATTAATAAAAAGTAAATGAGATATTCACTTCTTGTCATTTGTATTTCTGTCATGAAAACAGTACATAGAAAATGTGAATTTTTCAAAATATTTAGGTTTGTGATTCAGCTATTGAAATATATATATATACATTAATTAATTAATTGATTAATCAGATTAGTAAGGGTTTGACAGCCGGCGTTCACTTACTTTACACTTTTGCTCGATCAGCCCGGTGCATTTTCTGAAACAATGTTGCTGCAGTGGACACAGAGACAAGCAGGCCGCTCACAACAGGAAGCGTTAGGGGCATTCAGAGGACCCACACACTACACAACCCAGGGGCTACACAACCCAGAGGCTACACAACCCAGAGCCTACACAACCCAGAGGCTACACAACCCAGAGGCTATTGTGAGTCTGTGGTGTCAGATCTTGTGTGTTTTGTGTCTCGTTTCTTTGGGTTGTGAATTAATTATATATGTACATTATATATGTACATATACATATGTACATATATATATATATATATATATATATATATATATATATATATATATATACATATATATATATATTCAATATAATTGATAATACTAGTATTAAAATACTTTAGTCCTGCAAACATTGTTTCAGTCTTGCACCAGGCAAGACATCAAATCCATCAAAGTATGAAATCAATTTCAGCACTTTGCAGCTTTTTTTGGGTGAATTTGGGAAGCTGATGAGGCCGAAATTTCAAATCGAGAATAAAACCACGCACACTAGTTGCCATGGTAACAGTAGTTTGTTGTCATGACCAGGTCTGGAGGTTTCCTCATGGCAGGACGGAGCTGTTTGAGGTTAATTAATCTGTGTTTTCCTTTTCTTTATTTTTCCCTCCCGGCCGGTTCAGATTCAGTGTGTGAGTGTGTGAGTGTATGAGTGTGAGTGTGTGTGTGCGTGTATATGTGTGTGTGTGTGTGAGTGTGTGTGTGTGTGTGAAACCTAGTTGGTAAATTTGAAAGCTCAATCTTTCTGAGAAGCTCAGAACTACTGGTCCTCAGTTTGAGTCCTTTCTCTTGGTCCTAAGTTTGAGGTACTTACAAGAATGTGTGTGTGAGTGTGTG